ACTAGGATTGCGCATGACACTCGACGTTTAGGGAGGAACAGTGCATTGTCTAAAAAGATAATGGGGGGAGCCGGGAGTAAGACGAAAATGCGTTTAGTCAAGAGACCAACTATAATAAAATCCATTCATTTAATTTACTTTAGTGCAACAACAAGAAAATAAAGCAAATAACACCCATCATCAAAATAAAATATGAAGAAAAGAAAACTATCAAATACATGACTGATTCATGCCATTGGAACTTCGGAAGAAAATTTGCGTTCAGTTTCTACAATCGCAAAGCGAGATTGGACTACCTATCCTACAAATTCATAATAATTTTGCTCCTATTTTTTGTGCGTGTTACACTATGTTGAATTCAAAGGGGTACGTTTTGAAGTAAAAAAGCCGAGTAGATTGTGGTCCACTATACAGGCACGTGAATTAAACAAGTGGGTAACTAGCACTGGTAGCGATTCCACACTGGTTGTTCTTGTTCCTCGACATCATAATGTAACCTTCCATGCCCCAGCCCTTTCCCCAGGAGTTCTTCACCAGCCAGTAGTCCTGTCCTTGGTATGTTCCATAACCAACAGCTAGCACACCATGATCCAACAATGTAGAACTGCAGGCACTGTAAGGCAAATTTTACGATGTTAATATGTTAAATTTCGTTTATGACGTTCACTGTCACATGAGGAAAATCGAAGCGAGTTCTCAAGCGTCGGTATCGCGTGATTTAACGGCCTTTATAAGAAACAATACATGAAAAAAATACATAATATTAGCATACGAGCAGCAAGTCTTCACTTTTGACGCTGACCAACGTTTCTTCGTCCGCAAGAAAGTTTGAAGCCTCGTGCAAAGCGAGCTGGCTAGAGGTCTGCGAGGGTATGGCACTAATAGTGCCAGTCTCTTATGCAGCTGCTGTTTGGTCTTGTCATATAAAATAGTTCTAAATGTACTTACGGCTCGTCATAGACTCCTTGGTGGTATAACTGGAATGAACCGTGGCTAGCATCTATAGCTACAGAGATTGGGCCGACTGTGGCCACAGCGGATTGAAGATCAGCTTCGCTTCCTCGCTTGACATCCATGTAACCTAACAGGAACGCCACCATAGACTTATTTTTTGAACCAAAAATTACATGAATAAATAAATTGATAAATAAAGCGCCTTACGAAGACCTGAATATAATGATTGAGAAAAGATCTCTGCTTTTTATCTAGTCCTGCGCAACATCGATGGCAAACATCGGCATACTCTCGTTCAATCGGCTGTTCGAGAATCATCACGAACCGCCGATGAATATTCGTTGCCTTTCCCTTACCAGTATCAGTAGCACCAACATCAGCTGCTTTGAACTTGCAGCGTCCATCGCGGGCTGTGTAGGGATAGCTTGCTTCGGTATCGATACCACCATTAGCTTTGATATACCTGAAAAATAATAAAGTAATGAATAGCATAAGAACTCTTCAATACAAAGATAAAGCTTACATGGCTAGAAACGCAAGATCTTTACCGTTTTCATGCAAATCCGAGATTGGAAAACAAGAAAACTGTATTGAGGATATTTTCCGCGATTATCTAGAATATTCAATGATGTAATCTCAAGCCACGATTCAGCTGATGACAACACGTCATAACCCATTAACTCTCAGAAAGGATTAACATGTAGATTCTCATCACAATCTCAGTATATTACTCTACAAACAGGAAATAAAAATGGACAGTTCGATCAGCCGGAGGGTGTTCATTTAATTTAGTATCATATTCTTTCCAGTAATGTAAAAGGAAATGTACATCGGCTAACGGAGTGAAAAAAATATCAGATATGGATATCAGGCTGTACACTATTTTCTTTGATAATTCCCAGTTTACGCGGAGATTAGTTTGGTGGAAAAGGCCCTGAACTGTGATTAAATTAACGGCAGGGACAGTATTTTTTGTGTAGTAACTCCTTAAGGGTGAGAAATATTCAGTTTTCGCCGCTTACCGGAAGGCGTTATCCATAAGTCCACCCTCACAACCGTGATTTCCATAGCTAGTTGAGCAGTCAACCAGATTCTGTTCGCTAAGTGAGACAAGGTTTCCTGTTTTCTTGAAGTGTTGTCCTTCAAGTGATCCTGTTGTACTGAACGCCCAGCAAGAACCACACTGACCTAAAACAGAACAAAGAATAGGCACAAATCACCAACATGATCTATGCGAAATTATCTTTAAATGTCCACAATTTCACGAACGTCTCCTGTGGTAGATACATGATTATCTACTAAATACATAAATTTCCATGCCAAGTTGTAAATGTTTACAAAATGCTTAAACCTTGATTCCCTAATATTGAAAAATGGTTAGTTGAAGGAATATGTACCTATAGCTGAAGTGCAGACATTTTTTTTTCTGCAAAAAATTGGACAGGTTCAGAGTTCCTCATTTTCACGAGTTTGCAACAGATTCAAGGATTGCGAGGAAAGGCTGAATTTTCGTTTGCTGTTTTTCCTCGTGAATGAAAAATCAGATGATTGTGACATTAAGCGAGGAGGTCAATCGAGCGAATGAAGCTAAATGAAAAAGAAAGGGACATCAAGAGGGCTTTCACAGATCGGTGAGTAAATAGAAAATACGACTTGTTACAAGACATTTAGCTTTAAGGTAAAAAGTCGAAGGAGCTAAGTTTAAAAAAAAAGACACGATCAAACTTACCTTGATTCTTTACTGGGGTAACGTATCCCTTAGTTCTCCAGTCCACTGTGGGGGGGAGGCTTACTCCACTGGGAGGGAGATAGGCCGATCCTTGACGTTTAGTCTCATTGGAGTAGTGAGAGCGAAGTCCCAGGTAGTAAAATCGGAATTCATCGACTGTCAGATCACCGAACTGGTTCATGGCCAGGGTGTAAGAGTGTCCCTCGGAGTTGTGTTGTTGAACTTTCTGGAAAAAAAACAAAGAAAAATCATTTAGAGGAGAGAAATGAAAGCAACTAGACAAAGGCAAAATACCTTTTCTAACAGCGATGTTGTTATTTGTGAAATTATTTCTTGAGCTAAAATAAAACGCCCTTTCACTGCAACCTGCAACGGAACCATCGACATAAAATCTGAAACTACCGAATTTCAAATGTTAAATGTAGGACCTCGCAACTGGGAAACTTTTTTTCAAGCGTCAAAGCTGTCAGATTTGACACTTTGCAGGCGTTGATCCTGAAGAAAATGTCAGTCAACTGAAGAAGCCTACATAAATAATCAGTTTTACACGACAATCGGGCTGTGAAGATGGAGAATAGCGCAGACTACAACGACCACGAAAGACGACAAAAGAAAACAAGACATAAGCAATTATGTGACCAGGCAACATTTTCCTTCGAGAATGAAACGTTATATGAAAACATATGCTCTCCCGCGAGCGGAACTTGAAGTCGACGTGATCGACATTTTGTGGTTATTAGATTACTTAAGTAACACCGGAAACTGCTGTTACAAAAGGAAACAATAGGCTTCTTCAAAGAAAGCATTTAATGAACTACAGGTCTGAATAAACTAGAGATCATAGGGAAGAATTCGAAAATGCACGTAATTTATTGAGATATGCAACTTTCGGTCAAAATTGAATAAAATTTGAGCACAATGGTCCTAAGGTGGAATAAAAGATTGCCGGCTTTAGTTGAGGCATGACGTCAGAGCTTTCGGTGCCAGGAACGAGGATAGGCGATCAATCGTTTATTGAACGGCATTCCCGTTTAGAAGAAACAAAAGTATCACGCAGATAATCGCAAGATTTATTGAGCAAGGCCAAGAGTTGGGCATGATAAAGAGAACATGCGTAAATAGCTGAATCATGCCTTAACTACAATAGACTCATTCGCACGAGTAGGCCAGCTGAAGGACGATGAACTGTTACGAAACAGCGCGAAAATGACTACAAAATGAGTACAAAATACAAAACTCATAAACTTGTACTATATTAGAAACCACGACAGCAAATATTTATTCTGAGATATACATCGCTGTTTGAATTTTGGTTGAGTCTACCAAACGACTTCTCGTCAATTTACCGTAGGGCGAATAAATACTGCGAAATCAGAATAAGCACTGAAGCGTTACTGCATGGGGCATACTAGTTCACTCGACCACAAATATTAGATAAAATTGTGGTGAAATCTATGCGCCGCCGATGAATCTAGCAAGGTTTATTGAATGGTTTTGGCAGTAAGAACTGCCTCTTTTAAGGAGAATAGAATATTTCATGCGTGAATGACATACCCTTAAGTTGTCTCTCCAGATCGCATAACGAGCTTGTTCCTCGGTATCTGTTTGGTAACTCTTGTCGTGAAAGCTCTTCCATGCCTGCCACTGCTCCTCATATTCGCGAAACTTCAGCACAGCGCTGTTTGCCACGGACAGGCAGAACACAACTGCAAGAACAGCCTTCATCTTTACCACTGAACAATAGCTAAGCTACGGCCACGATGGTCTACACGGAAAAAACGCTAGCAATTTATAGACAGAAGTCACGAGATATCCTCGTGGTAACAGGATCAGCTTCGTAGTCACGAGATGCCTACATCTTGTGATTCAGCGAATTGATCTCAACGGGGGTAGGAGGGTAGGGTTGGTTTATGTCTTTATTCAGAACTCTATTGTCTTGTCTCTATTGTCTTGTTGAGAAGATTTGTTTTCCAAAAGCATGAGATGGAAACCAAATCTAACCGGCTAAAATGGAGCGTTCACTTGAAGACCAAATGATGCAGTTTGAGTCTGTTCTGTTTGTTGTTTTACCTTAATCACTCATGTTTTGATTTTTCAGCTGAATCATCATTTGTCACCAAACCGGCATATAAACAGGGACACGAAGTGGACAAGAATAAACTCGACTTAAAACAGACATGAATACAGTATGCATAATCGCTCTTGTACAGAAAAGCAACCCCATTTATGGTCTTGTTGACGGACTCTAATATTAAGAAATGTCAGTCAAAACGATTGACTTCAGTCTGAGAAAAAGTCAAAATTATCGCATAGAGTTTAGAACAGTTTACAGAATTCTGTCATTCGACACAAGTGTAATACTATTATGAAAAATAACGAAGAGCGTAATTCTTGAAAAGCACATTGACTATTAACAAAGCAAATGGGGCTATTAAGATACCTTAAGGGTCAATTTGAGCAGCAGAAAATTGCTTACTTGCTTCTTATTAGGCAGCCAACTCCGCCAGCCGACTTCTGAGAATATCGAGCTTATGTCCACCAACTTTCCTCCCTCCCCTTCCTCCCTCATAAAACTGTTTTTTGTAGGGATTGGTTTCGGGCTCTCCCAGATTACTGAAAGTCGACAGAAATGAACTCAGGTTATCCAAATCGAATAAAAATGAACAAATTTGCAACCATTCTCGAATACAAAATCCCATTAATTTAAACAAAAAAAAATTTAGATGACTTTTCCTTTTTCATTAGATCAATATCCCAATTTCAGCGGTTTCATTAGAAGCCGCTTACCGGCAATCTCGAGGCCAGGGTGAATTTGGCTTCTTGTCAACGGTGTGGTCGTCATTATTTGGTGACCTCTGACCACCAAATGTTTAGCATGCGAGTAGGCTAATGTGTTCGGGTTTATACCATCGGCAGCCGCTTACGGAAAAAGTTATTGAAATCTCTGCAATCTATTTGGTCAGTAAGATCCACTGAACTGTAGAGAAGAGTGAGGAGGTTAACTTGAAGAGAAGTTACTATAAAAAGCAAGCAAGGTAAAAAAAAAAATAATAACCTGGACGTCATGCAAACGATGAACATATCATTTTGCTAAATTAAGCATGCCGTCATGGATTTATTTTTAAAGAGTTCTCTATTTAGAGATGGTTTTTCTGTGGATGTTGTCAGCTATTATTACACCCATGGAACGGCACGATCCATGCACAAGCCTCGCATGATTCACATCACATGTACATTTTCTTTAAACGTGTTTTGTTCTTGATCCTTATTCAGAACTTTGCTCATCCTTATTTTTTATTTAAGGTGTTATTTTTAATGATGGCCCGTAAGGCCCACCATTTCACAAACTCTATATCACTATTTAATAAAATAAATAACTTTTTGACCTTCGGGTGCCATACAAGTTAAACAAAATTTTCTTCCCAGCTGAGGTACAATTAAAAAAATTGCAGAAAGGAAACTTGAACAAAATTAAGGCTTCGACGGGATTTGAACCCGAATTTCCAGAAATTGGTAGGGTGCCACCACCAACTGAGCTGCAAAAAAATATGCTGGGAGCGAACAAACATTTATAATTCCTATCGCTTGTATTGCTAGTACAAAGCTTATATTTCTCGCACAAAATTTATTTTCCTCTTACAAACTTTAAATTTCCTGTATGAACTTCACATTCCTCGTGAAATTTTTATATTCCTCATGCAAACTTTATATCCTTGGAACAATGCTTCCATTTCTTTGAAACGAAACTTACATCGAAGGCAAATGGACTCAAACGTTATATCTTCTTTTTTCCTCTTGGGACATATCTCTTACTCTCATATGACCTAAGAGAGATGTGTCCCTAACCTGTCGCGGGCGCAAGGAGAATATTTCCCGCTCTCTAGCGTCATTTTGTGAGATTGCTCCGAAAGCTTCCGACGAGTCACGAACTTACATTGATGCGCACGACGATTGGTTTGTTCAAGTTCCCACCTCCCAAGGCCAAAGTTGTGTGCAAATGCCTTACCCAAGCGCTGGAATTGATCTTCAATTTTCTTGTAAAAAGCAAGATTAGTACTTTAGTGACCGTGACGTTCCTGTGGACTCTTTTTTCTGAGCTATCTGCCCACGCAAGTGATTTTTTTTTCTTAAAACGCCTTCATACTGAAAGACAAAACACGTTTATTCCGCTGGAAAGACTTGCAGGTTCCGGTTCAAATTCCCCACCAAGGTTGAAATTTTATTTCCGGGAACGGGCGACGGTCAAATTTCCGTGAGTTTCCCGGGGAGGGCGTTGATTGGAGCATGATATATGGTCAATGGCTTCTTGAAAACTAATAGCCACACCCTCATTTAATGAACTTTCAACTTATGTCTACTGTTTTCTACTGCTCTCCGTTTGCTTTTTAAATTCTTTTCTTCAACAGCTTTGTGACGGCTTAAAAAAATTGCCGACATTTTGATGAAAAAGAAAGCATGGGTGAAACGTCAATGCACTCGACATGTTTGATGTTTGATTTTCCATCTTCTTGAACAGTCTTTGTGACAGTCTGGATACAATCATTGATCGTGAAATAAAAAAATGGATTAAAATTGTAAAAGTTCATCAATGAATCAAAACCTCAAGTTTCTAAAACGAGTGGGTAACTGGCGTAGATAGCGATTCCACACTGGTTGTTCTTGTTCCTTGACATCACCCTTCCATTGCCAAAGAGTACCCTCCAAAACCGCAAAACTGCAAAAAAGATTCGTTCAAAACCGAAAACCGCATGCAAAACCGTCAAAACCGATAAATTTTCACATCCCAGTTATAAACACTCTAATCGATCCGATGAAGTGGTGACAAGTGGAGCATACAGAGGTTTCGCGGCTTTTCAAGATCTGTGGAGGCGCATAATTGCCACTCAGATCAAAGAGTAACCGAAACTCAAATAGCAAAAACCGAAAACCGCATCGGATACCAAATCCGAAAACGCATTAGTGTCTTTTACGAATACCGAAACCAAGTGCTTAAAAACGGAAAATCCGCAAACCGCAGTGAACCGCACAAAAACCGAAAAACGGAAGTTTTCTTGGCACAAAAACCGAGAAAATGATCTAAAAAATAGCCAAAACCGCAAAACCGATAATACCAATGCCACCCTCCTTAACTCTTCCCCCCCCTAAGAGTGACTGGCATCTCATTTATCCTTACGATATCATCCCCGAATAACAAATTAACGTCACAAGAAGAAGAGAAATGTCAATGTGAAAGTGACCTTCGCAGTAATGAACACTACTTGAGCAGTAGTGAAAACAAGGCCTTAAAAAAATTCAGGCCTGTATGGGATTTGAACCCATGACTTCCGCGATACCGGTGCGGTGCTCTTCCATCATCTACCATATTCACGTCTTTATCCGCAGTTCACATATATGATTTTCAGATAGTCACAGTCATTTATTCGTCACATCACGGGTTTGTTTGGAACCAACATAATGACCAGCTCCCAACTGGCATGTTAAATCAAAATAAAAAGAAAAACATTTAAAGTCTGTCACGAGTGTTATTACAGGAAACCATCCATCGTTACCTTCTGAACTTAAGATGGGGATCATGTGAACGTTATTCAGCAATGCTGCACTTGAGTTTCAGATGCCGTCTCTCCAAAATGGTAAAGCAATTTCCGTGTCAAATTTGCTCATGGAGGGCGATAAAAGTTCTTGTAAATCGAATTCTGAGAATTCTGTCTCAAGATGCCACACTAGATTCCCCGAGGTCGATATATAATTTACACAGTTAATTGTCTCAAAAATATGGCAGAATATTACATGAAGGGGTTCTTTCTTGAACAAGCTCGAGGTTTGAGAGCCTCAGCACCACACCCCCCCCCCCTTTCCTCAAATAAAATTTTTTTCTAAATGTGGAAAGCGTTCCCAGCCGGGCTTGCATTCCCAAACACGACAAACATTTATTCATATTTATTTGTGGGTCAAGCCCTTCCAATTACACACTATCCTTCATTAAAAATATAAAAGTGACCAGGACAAGTTCTGTATCTGTAGATAACACTTCTGTCCACCTGTCTGGTTCTGGTTACATTTCTCTACCTATCAATTTCAAAAAGATAGTGTTAAAATCGTATGATTGGCTTGTGGACGGGAGATATTACTGGCTATTCTGCGGTTTCATTTGGCTAAATATGGCCAATTACAACAGCTTCAGCGCATCAAATAGGTTTAGGCATACACTAATTTGAAAATAATTTTTACACCACCTACTGACGACAAGTAATTTTGAGTGAAAACTTACTAATCAGTCAATTAATTCTTGAAATTGTACTTCACTCTTTGACACTTAACAAGTGATTAGCTTCGAATTTCTCCTTAAAATATCAGCCCTACGTTACTTAAGATCACAAAAATGAAGAAAAAGATCACTGACTAAAGATTGTTTAATCAGTTCTCCTTATCATCACCTTAGGAAATGCGTAGAGAACAGTATGAAGTATATGCATACTGATTTTAGCGTGTAAATGGTTACGAAAGGGAACAAACCTTTCCAAAATATTAGAAGATCATCTACTGTTTCAGCTTCCTAAAACACAACAGTATGGTAGTTATGCCAACTGGTTCAACAGGCTTTAACAAGTCAACAACAAATTCTTTGGTCATAATCATCAGACAACCAATCAGCTCTAGTTTTGGCTGCTTGGGAGGAGATGGAGAGCATAATATATTCGTGTTAAAGATTTTTAATAAATAAATGAAATAAAATTTATTTGACCTGTGGATAATTTAACTCTGCAAAAAAGCCATTGATAGGTTTTTAAAATATACATTTAAATCTCCGCAAGAGTAATGTCTATAAAATTTTCCTTAAAACTTCTTAATACAATGAGATGTAGATGGGTAACGAGGATAACGATGACTATTAACTGAGCAATTCTGTCTAAATGTCACACTACCCAACCTAAATTTTTCCAGCTGATGCTGACCCCGACGAAGCTCTTTTCAATTGTTACAAAACAAAACAAACAAAATAATCACAACAGCCAATAAGAACAGGACGAAAATATTACAAGGAACCAATAAGGACTCAAAGTAAAGACAAGAAAACTGCCTGAGGCGCAGGTAGAGTGACCGAGTCATTTTATTGTGTAGTTTGATCCGCGGGAGTAGCTCTGAGAAGGAACTGATTTCCGCTGTAGTGAATGACGTTTCGACAACTTTAGCGGAGACATCATCAAAGGAAAATCGTTCTTAGGACTACCCTCACCCACGCGATCAGACTACACCATCAAATGTTACTCCTGAGTTACACAACGACTAAGTCACAGCTAAGTTTTCAATGTGATTCGTTCAGAAAAAGGGGTGCGTTTCCTGGACCAATCACATGACGAAATAACGCAAACCCGAGGCAATCCCAGATTAATCTCCACATTCCATTGTAAATTTCTTTACCTCTACGGATTACCTTGAGATCAAAGACTAAAAGAAGGCCTCAATTTGTGACACAATAGTCAAAGATAAAAAATTATTTGCTCATAATTGCCACTTGTAAACTTCTTATGTGATAAACTTATCTGTGATCATGAAAAACTTAAACATACTTTTAATACTTTAAAGCTCACGCTGCCATCCTCAAGCACACGATAACCTAGACCAAGTAAGCAGAATTCAATAACTTTACACTTGTTGGTAAGTCAACCCCTTCAGGCGGCTGATAATGTGCGCGGCTGAAAGATTGTCCGAAAGATCAATATTTGGCCGAGAAGCGAAGCTTCGAAAGCAGATGTGAAATTTTGAGGACGATCTCTCAGCCGAGGACATCATTAGCTAACGAACCAGCAAGCCAGAAACGGGGTTTATTTATTTTACAACCCTCACATTCATTTTCCCATCGCGCGTCGACAGCAAATGTTGTAGACTTTTTTGAACTTTGCGGAGCAGCATTTGAGATCAACCTTTTAAAGAAACTACCACTGGACTCTACAAAACAAGTTCATTTTTCTTCCATGTAAAGTAATACAGATGAATAAGTGAAACTCTTGAGCTGGCTTTTCCCCGCTGGCTTTGGTATTTTCGACAGAAATAATCGCAGGACAAATATCGACGTAAATGGGGATTATTGCGTGATAACTATCCGGTGATTTTGAACTACGCGATGCAAAGAGTCGCACAAAAATTAATGTGTGTTGTTGAAAATCAAATAACATAACACTTGAAAAAAACAACCAAGTTATCCTGTTTACCTCACAGACATTTAGGTTGAAACATCTTGGTTTAAGTAATACTGAGGTCTTTAAATCATCAAGACCATGCCTACCTAAAACAGCAGGTGCTTGACGACTGCAATGTCGTGAAAAAAGTGATAGGGAATTTGCACCACAATCATGTAAAATGAGGTAATCTCCTTCTTCAACCTAAGAAATAACGACTTTGTTAACTTAAATAGTTGCATTTTACATCAGACTGGTAGACGCACACTTCTGTGCATTAAATTTCCATCACTTTAGAGAAACTAAGTATTGTATAACAGTTTCCAATTCGTTTAATCCATATTTAGAGGACATTGTCACAAATCAAAAGCCAGGCTTAGGATCTTGGCGACAAAATAAGTAAAAACAATTCAAACAGTGTCAAGAAATCTGAAAAAAGGAGCCTCGCTTGACCTGAAACACTCCTTAATTTCAAAGGTGTATGGTAGAAAAGATTAAGTGTGTTTGTTAACATGCAACTGAAAGTTTTGTGGGAATTTTTTCACGAACTAGTAATGTTTAACGTTTTGCAGAACCAGGTTTTCCAGTTTTGAGATGAATATCATTTCCGTACGGAACCAATCCTGCAATTTTTTGCATAAGCAACAGAGCACTGATTGACAATAAACTTTCTAACTTGTCACCTTATACCGAGGAGAGTTACATAAATGATCTTTGGATACAGTAGTACTTCGAGAACGTTCAAAAATTTGAAAAATACAACTTGACACTTGATTCTCACTTGCAGAATTTTTCATATCATTATCATTTTTCTTAACTTTTCTGGTGTTATCGTAATAAAAATTTTCAAGCTACATGGTATTTAAAGATAAAAATAAGACAGCGAGAGCTAAGTCAACAGATCTGAGTTCCCAATTATTTTACATAACTTGTGACTTACCGTCGGAAGAAGTACATCTCGCTTTACTACGTCACCAGAAAAGCACAGAGGGCCGGCAATATTATAGCGCATTCTCTGTGGTCATAAAAAAGAGTCTATAAGAAAAGACATATCTAACTCCTGATGGTTAGTTCTATTTGAAACCTATGGTTTGTTACGACAGCTATAAGTTTCTTAAATTCCCTGACTTTTCCCTGACAAATTGAAAAGTATCATTAACTAACTACATTAATAAGTTCACAGATAAGTCCCGATTGTGGCGTAAAACCTTCCCTCACAGCCATTCTTTCCTAGCTTAAATTATGCTTTCCGCACGTCACATTCAGTGCACGTGAATTGCTAACTCCGTACCGAAACGCGGAAAAACATCAGCTTGTTGTTTAATTTCTTTCCTTGTCACTGCCCTTACAGAGAGATGGCCATTGAAGAATGGCTAAAACAAGAGTGAAGTGATGTGGGGCGTTGAGATGACGGTCAGTGGAGGTTTGACTGTGTCTTGAAAGTTTAATTAAGCACATTCTCCGTACTGTTCTCTGTAAAATTCCTTGGGCGCTGACAAGGATAATTTGTTTAACATTCGAGAGCTTTTTTAGTTGGTGATCATTTCCTTGATTCTCGTGACCTTAATGTGTGATTCAGGGGTGTTATGGTGAGGAGAAATAAGAAGCTGGTCACTCTTAGGGTTTAAAGGGTTAAAACGACTGGGATTTAAAAAGCTTCATGACTGTATAACTTTTGTACGTAATTATTTGGTTACCAAAAAGGTTCTAATCAAAATGTAATCGATCTTCAGTTCTTTGTTATGATTTTTTTTCAGCAGTTAACTTACAACTACGTGTACATACCTCTCCTTCTTTTAATTGTCCTTCTTCGCTAAAAACTTCAACTCGTCTCTGTCAAAAAAAGAATACTTCAAGATCAGGCTTTACATGTAAAGCTGCCCGACCAAACTGAAAATTGGGTACTGTTATATTTGTATAATGCACCTACTTGGTATTTCTGCACATTAGGGCAATAACACGTCCTCGTCATCATATCCTATTAACACAAGGGTATTTCATCACATTAATGACAGTTTTAGGATTAATAGAATTACTTCAAAACAAAAAACCAAAGAAAGATACAATCTAGAGAAGATAGGATTTATGGCCCAAGCAAGAAGCTCGCTGGCCATTAATCTATGCATAGCTATGCAGGACTAAATACAGATTTAACTGACAAAGTTGTGACCAGCTCCAATTATACCCACTAAGTCATCTACGGCCTGATGATTTCTTGGTGATTCCATAATTTACGTCAATTTCCTATTATTAGCACAACATACCGCTCCAAAATGTATAAGAACTATTTTTAGGTTATCCGAAGCCTTCTTTGTGTATTCCACTCGACTAACCAGCCAGCCAGCCTAACAGAAAATCAAAAATGCAGTCAAACTAAACAAAACAACAATTCTTCTCGTCAGGAAGGAGTAAGAAACATTATTTCAAATTCATGAATTGTTAATTCTCATGTCATCAGCATAATTCATGGAGAACCTAATCAAACCCAAAGAAGTCCAAACTTTTCTGTACATGTTTCAAATATTTCCAAAGATATTGTTAATATATCCCAAAGATGACCTAAAGATTTGACCCAATATGTCTGGAATACTGTCGCCTTCTCAGCCACAGGTTTTGGCTAATGTCCCTGCTTCTTGGTGTAATTCGTTGGGTAAGTAAAAAAAAAAAAAAAACAAACAAACAAAAACAAAAAGTTTTAGTTTAACATTTAAATCACATCTGTTCATACAGTACCTTCGCATTAAATGCTTGGCCAAATTCTGTAATTACTTTCTTGAAAGCCCCATAGCTAGGGAAAAGTTCTGGAACTTCTTTCTAATAAAATTATTTTTACTAACATCAGTGAACAAATAAATAATATT